GTCAATGTACTGTGTTAGACGTGATGACATCACGGGACCTTAAACCTCTGGAACCCAGGGCGGAATGTGGGGACCGGTCTAGCACACAGAAGATAAGGTGAGTGTATTTCTTTATTTGAGCCCCCTAGACTAAATTAATACTTGACCCTTACAGTGCGGGGGTCGCCTCTTTAGACCCTGCACTGCCTCCTGTGGCTCCACACAGCCACCTAAAATCCTACACAGCCTCCTGAGACCCCGCACAGCCTCCTAAGATTCCGCATAACCACTTAGATGCCGCACAGCCACCTAAGACCCCGCAGAGCCTCCTGAGACCCCATACAGCCTCCTAAGACCCCACACAGCCTCCTGAGACCCCCACTCTGCCTCCTGTGCAGCCTCCTGAGACCCCGAACAGCCATTTGAAAACCCACACAGCTTCTTGTGATCTTGCACAGCCACCTGAAACCTCGTGCAGCCTCTTTAGACCCGGCACAGCCTTCTAACACCACACACAGCCCTCTTGAGATCCTCTGCTGGAGACATCAGGCCAGCACCCCAGAGAAGCACAGAGTATGTAACGTCATAATATTCTGCATTGATGTATAATGCATTGCTGGGATTGGTAGTCCCCTATAGCTAGTTGCCATTTGGCATTGCTGTGTAATGTAATGCTGAGATTTGTAGTCCTCTATAGCTGATGTTATTTTTCTGCATTGTTGTATAATGCATTGCTGGGATTTGTAGTCCTCTATAGCTGATGGTATTTTTCTGCATTGTTGTATGTGAGAACAGAGTGAAAGAGAGAGGAGCTCATCAGTATAATGATTCTGCTGTCACTGACCAATCACAGGCTGGGCTTGCAGTCTCTGTACCGCAGAGCTTAGACTGGGGAAGGGAGAAGCAGCACAAGGTGCCCACTCCAATGCTAATTAAAAAGAGGCATATACACTGTGATTTCTTAGAAACGGTATACAGCAAGTATATAAGCAAGATCATTAATGCCTTTCCTTTATGTTGTGTCTTTATAGATACAGAAGCTCCTACGGTTTCCTTCACGTCAGACAGCCGGGTGTCTGATGCAGATGAACTCGTGTGATCACCTTGAAGTAAGTGTTGGCGTTCCGTTGCTCTTTTCTTTCAGATGACATTCTACTGACATTTCCTCTGCAGTACAATGCTCTTCCTGCTTGACCAGGACAGGCTCCATGCTTGTGCGCTTGTCACAACTCTTCCCAGGTGATCAAACACACCTCCAGTAGTATATCATTGTGACTGTCACCATCCCATCATATCCCAGCCGGCCCCATTTCCCACTGATAAGAAGCTTTCATAGCCCAGTAATCTCTGATTACATGAGTGCTTACATCTCTCCGGCGTTGATTGTACAGTGTTTCCTTTTTTTCTGTGTGTCTGTATGATACATTAAGTGAAACAAATGACACACGCACCCATCAACTGTATGATACATGGCATTAGGCTGGGTGTTTATTTGTTAGACAGGTACTCTTTATTCAAAGCCTTCCAATTTAATTCAGCTCTGTATTCATTAATACACCAATAAATATGTCAGATGTGCTAACAGAAGGAGAGAGCAGAGTGACAAAGAGATGAGCTCATCAGTCAAATGCTTCACCTCTCAGGCTGATAGAAGGAGAGAGCATAGTGACATAGGAAAGAGCTCAACGGTCTGCTGCTTCACCTTCCAGGCTGGGGGAGGGACAAGACCTGTTATTAAAAAAAAGACCTTCACCAAAAAAAAAAATAAGAAAATCCAGACCTGAACGAGGAGAATCTTATGTTGCATGTCCAGCTTTAGGTCAATCACACACCTCGTGGTTTTCATTGTCTAGGTGGTTGCATGGCGGTACTTCATTAAAAAATCCCATTGGGATTTAAAAAAAAAAAACCTGCCTACAGGAGGCGACCATAACACCTCCTGAATGCTAGGCAGCCACTGCTCCTCCGCCTTCTAAAAAAGCCATCCACCACAGATCACTTTTCAGGGGGCGGAAGGGTCTCAAGCCCGTCTGAATGAGGCCTAAGGCAATTTGGCTGACAACAGGGGCTTTCCGTAGGAGCAGGCAAGGGGCACATGGGTGCCAGGAGCTGGCACTTTGATGATTTCTTTATGGGCAGCAGTAGAACGTTCAACTTTAGTAGAGTCAGGTAATCACTGGGGCATCTATGGGCACCTTAGATGGTTGTGAATACCCTTGTTATAACTCTATCTGGAAAAAGGGCTACTGGCTACATTTCTTTTCATCGGTAGTCTACAGTTCTTCTGAAATAAGAGCCACTTCATAGAACATCTATGGGCACCTTAGATGGTCGTGAATACCCTTGCCATAACTCCATCTGGAAAAAGGGCTACCGGCTACATTTATTTTCATCAATAGATTACAGCAGGGGCTGACTGGCAACTTTTAGCCCAGGGGGCAAGTACAACCCAGAGGCCCATGGTGCAGCAACTTGGCCCCCCTCCCGCTCTGCCTCTTCCCTGCCTACAGTTCTTCTGAGATAGTTGTCACATCAATGGGACATCTATGGGCTCCTTAGATAGGTGCAGATACCTTTGTCATAACACTATCTGAGGATAAGGCCACCGACTATATTTATTTTCACCAGTAGTCTACAGTTCTTCTGAGATAAGTGTCACATCACTGGGGCATCCATGGGCACCTTAGATGGTTGCAGATACCCTTGCCATAACTCCATCTGGGGAAAGGGCTACTGGCTACATTACTTTTCCTCTAATAGCCTAAAGTTCCTCTGTGAGAAGTGTCACATCACTGGGACATCTATGGGCACCTTAGATGGTTGCAGATACCCTTGTCATAACTCTATCTGGAAAATAAATGTAGCCAGTAGCCTTATCCCCAGATAGACTTATGACAAGGGTATCTGCAACCATCTAAAGGGTGCCCATAGATGTCCCAGTGATGTGACACTTCTCTCAGAGGAACTGTAGACTACTGATGAAAATAAATGTAGCCAGTAGCCTTTTCCCCAGATAGAGTTATGACAAGGGTATTCACAACCATCTAAGAAGCCCATAGAAGCCCCATTAATATGGTTCTTATCTCAGAAGAACTGTAGACTACTGGTGAAAATAAATGTAGCCAGTAGCCCTTTTCCCATCAATAGCCTGCAGTTCTTCTGAGATAAGTGTCACATCAATGGGACATCTATGGGCACCTTAGATGGTTGTGAATACCCTTGGGATAACTCCATCTAGGGATAAGGCTACTGGCTAAATTTATGTTAATCAAAAACTCGCCATTCTTCTGAGATAAGAGCCACACCAGACCTATAAAAATAAAAACAAGATGGACCAAGGTGATAGCTGCCTACTAAACCTCTCAGAACCTTCTAGTTGACCACTTGCCTCCTAGTGAAGTTCATCACTACATAACGGAGGTAGAAATGCAAATGTTTACACGAAAGTGGCCTCCTGCCATGTGTTTGGCATCCACCGCCCTGCGTAAACAAATCCAATATTGATTCCTGTCGCTCAGGATGTGCCGTTTACACACAGCAGAGTTTCAGTGTCTCTGAGTTCCTACCGTGAACCCAAATAAAGCTGCAACCTGCACTGGCCACCTGACTCAAACACGACAGCCCATTGTCACAAAGAACATTTTATTACAAAGAACCCTGGATGGCAATAACAATCATTTTATTCATGTAGATGATTTATGATTCATCACTCGGAAAGCAGAACAGACATTTAGAGAAAAAAGAGGCAATGGAGGTTATTCAGCGACCTTAACTAACATTTCAAACAATTAACAAGTGATCTTTAAATGGTATCGCGTTTTCTTTTTTATTCTTTTATTAAGCGCAAATTAAAATTTAAATGCCAGGAGTGAATAAATTCTAGCATCAAGAGACAAAAAAAACCTTCAAAAACAAAGCCAGCAGGCAACTGCTACAATAATGCGGAAACATACATTACAGCAAACATATATCATCTGCTTCACTATAGGATCACGTGGGACAAGTGTAATTAAAGCCAAAACTGTGTATTCTAGTAGGGAATTTTTTTGCTTGTGTCCTATCCAGGAGATGTAGGTGAATGGATGTCACCAGCACATCAAGAGTATTGTAGTCCAAAGCGTTCATTTATTAAAACGTCAGGTCAGCAGAACTTAGTTCTTAGGTCAGCAGAACTTACGAGCAAGGCAACTCTACGTTTGTTCCTGTCCGAGATTTCCCATGACTTCCTGTCCCAGTGGCACAGCAGGAAGTAAGTGGAGATCTCCACGCTGGCTGTCAAAATACCTAAACAATATGATTTGATGTCAGCATTTTTCAGGTATTTGGAGAGCCAGTGGGGCCGACTAGCAAGATACTGAAGCTTGGCCCCAGTGGGAGATTCCTCCATCCACACAGTTTAGCGTAGATGGAATCTGTTGCACTTTTTCCATCTGACCATAGGCTGACCAGCTTAAAATATTGTGCTGAAGGGTCAGAATCTCGGTTAGGCTTTTGTTGTCATCTGTGTCCCTATTAGGAAGGCTTCCATCCATTTCCTGTTAGGAAAGGAAGTGATAAGAAATCTCTCACTGAGAGAAAAGAAAAAACACATTGTGGTAGAGTGGGAAAGGGTTATGATCGTGTTCTGTTGTTGTCTGTGCTTTCCTGTCCCAGTGACATCCATACTGCTCATTTCTTGCACGGGCGTCACAGGGACAGGAAGTGACAGAAAAACTCCCCAGATGGGGGTCACAGGCAGAGGTTAAAACCTAAAAGAAGTTGTAATTGTTCCTCACTCTATCCAAAACTAAAAATATATGGCTGGAGTTTTGCTTTAACTTTCTCAGAGATGTAAAATAAACACATGATCACCCCACATATGACATTCTAGAATTCATTATTCTAGAATTGGCCTATACAATAGGTCCAATTAAATGACATTACACCTTTATTTCAAGGTGACAAATAGTGAGGTCACATTTTATAATAGACAACGGGGGGACTTCCCAGCATGGACGGAATCAGTGCTCTTCATGCAGTGATTGTCAGACAGTCCTGGTAACAGCATCAGCATTGATCATTGCTGCACAATCCTCTTTATACCCTCTGCTAGGCCCTGAGCTGAGGGGTTCTGTGCTGTACAGCTGACGTGGAGGCCTTCTGCCACCATGGCATCGGCGGTGGTAGGGCCAATGGCGGAAAACTGGAAAAGAAGGAGAGAGTGTCAGACAAATCTGCAGAATGTGCAAAGTCAAAACACACCCAAATGGTTAATCAGCTAGACTGAGTGGAATTGGAGCAGAGAGAATCTAGAGCAGTTACCCATGGCAACCGAACAGCTTCTATCTACTGCTTGCCCCCAAGAGTAGATAGACAATAATAAAAAAAACTGACAGGAGTTTTCAACCTTACCTACAAAAAAATTTGGATATCCATATAATTTAAAGTGTATGTCCACTTTTGCAGTCATATTAGAGAAGCCTCCATTATATGTTTGTTGTGTGTTCCCATTCACACAGCATACCGGAAAAATGATTTCTGACCTTTGTACTTATTTTTTTGCCACAGGATCATACGTAGTACTCTATTGTTTGAAGTACAATTAAGGAACAGACTCAGGGACAGTTTATTTGACAGAGTGCATTAACATACAATGTACCACCCAGGCCTTGAGAGCTTTAACCCTTTGTTAGGACAGATGGTGTGCACATCTGGTTAACAACTGTTAATGAAATCTGCCAGCACAGAGAGAGTTAATTATGACAAACATAACCCTCCCGTAGAGGCGTATCAACTATAAAATGCACCTATGGCGTCCCGCCCAGCTCATGGCAACCAGTGGCATCACTGTTTGCCAGGAGTTGGGTGAGACTCTCTGGCCAGTGTCCCACCGAGCTGCAGGCAATCAGGGACACTCTGGACGGTGTCCTGCTGGCCTCCTGGCAACCAGTGACGTCACTGGTAGCCAGGAGCTGGTTGAGACGCTATGGCCGGTGTCCTCATGAGCTCCAGAGCAGAAAAAAAGGCAGCGGTCTCCGTGGGTCAGCAAATGTTCACTAAACCATAGAGTGGCGCCTCCCCCCCCTTCAAGTGGTGTCCAGGGCATGTACCATAGGTGCCAAGCCCTGGATACGCCACCGCTCCCCAGCCACCTCCCTAACATTTTATAGCAGGGGGACCCTAACCAAGATTTTTCAGCAAGTAAAAAAATTTAAGCAGCAAATTTTAAATATTTTTTAAAGAACCTATCATGTGTGACTTTGTTTTTGGGTTTATTTTTTTAAAAAGGAAGCTCCAGGGCCATCCACCTCATCCTGACACCCACTCAGCAATTGTTGTGAAACACGCATGTAAGACTTCCTTCTCTGCGAGCTTGCTCCAGGTCACGCTCATGCAGTCTGGGATTACAGGCACAGATATGTAACAAAAACCGTGCAAATCTCTTAATACATAAGAGTCCCATGTCTCTATTCTGGATGGGTTCAGTCTGGACTTCGCCTGGTTGTCCCACCACTGTGTAATGTGTTCTGGAAACGTCCAGTCACTAGATTAGAAAAGATCCTTCACAGTACGGCGGCTTTACCTTTATGTGATGAATCTTCTCAGCGGAGAGTTCCTGGATGATACCGAGACAAAACTTCACTCCGGATGGGCTGAAAAACACAATACTTGCTGGCAGGCCTTCCTAGATAAAAGACATGATAGATGGGAGAAATGCTAGTTACACTTAAAAAACACTGGGGCATGAGCCACACCAGGAAAAAAAAAGGTACGCACAGTTATTTGTTCATATTTATCACATTTAAAAAATAACAAAAATAAAAGTTTTAAATATATATTTGTTTAATCTTTTAAATAGGAAGGCTGCATATCAATACATCACATTTATTATTCCCAGTGATGCTCTAGGCTGCTTTTCACATATTTACTAGGCTCACCTTAAGGCATTGTTCACACCAAATGCAGAGCAGATTCGGTCAGGTTTCTGCACACGCACGCTAGTCTTTTAGATGCGTTTTTGGCTAGAATTTTTTTTTTAAGTTTAAAATGGGCTTTTAGTGCGTTCCAGGCATGTGCAAGCATTTTTGATGCGTTTGCAGAGCCACAGCAGGTAAAATAGGGCCTGCTGCAGTTTTTTCACCTGCTCTGGACCTGCTCTGGAACTGCACACTGCGATGTGAACTGGAGCAAAAAATACCATTGGAATACATTGGACGCAGTTTTGATCCGGTCTGCACCTGCTCCGCGCTTGGTGTGAACAAGGCCTAACTGCTAAAAAGCCAGTTTACAAAGCTGAATAGCTGAAGCTTAAAGAAGTCCAGGAAGAACTCCAGGAATTAACAAAATGAACCCTTGCAGCGGGGCTATCTGTGATGTGAGAGAAACAATGCTACTCACATGGCTGTCATGCTGAACCGGAATAAGTATCTTTTCATTTAACTCCATGCACTGCAGTGACGTGTGATGCCATGTGTTGCGCTGCTTGATCATGCAGATATGCTGCAATTTTGGGCATCACGCACCAACACACTTGAGTAGTGAGCACAATATACGCTGAGTGGCCAGATTATTATGACCACCCCACCAGTACTTCGTTGGGCCGCCTCGTGACTCCACGAGATGTTGAAAGGTGATGCGAGGAATCTGACACTGCACTGTTCCCTTCTGTTGTCTTGTACCAGTCTTGCCACTCTCCGGTCTGCCCATATCTTCAGAAACAAAATCACTTCTACTGTCGTGGTAAACAACCTGCTCCCCTGTTTATAATGGTCTGTCCCTCTAGCAACTTCAGTGCAAAATTATAGCTAATTAGCCTACAAACGTCAGGTGGTCATAATAATCTGGCCACTCAGTGTGTATAATTATATTATTGATTTGTTTTTGCACTTAAAGTGGTGCATTTAAAAATTCCTCTCGCAGTCTGCAGTGCTGTTTAATTTTCTCCATCAGCACTGGGCCTTGTTATTGAATTGCTGTCTCTAACTGGACAGAGTCGTCTGAAGCGGAGACTGCCGACATTTGACTGCTTTGTATTGACTCAGGTACAGAGAATGGAAATTGCTCACACTGAAGTGGAAAACTGCTGAGCCAAGCACATCTGATGGGGTAAATCTATATAGGAAATGCGTCCAGGGCCAGAAAGGTATTTAGCGCTAAAAGTGTCAATTGTCAAAATGTCGAGAAAAAACGTTTTTCTAGTTTTGAATATAGTGAGGATGGATTAGAACCCCGGTTAGGCTTTTACTGCTATTTGGGGCTCTGTCTGTCTGATAACAGTTTTGAGCAAACAGGAAGTAGGGAACAGTCTGCAACAGGGACACATAATAAAAAATGTGACCGGGGTTCTAGCCTTCCCCATCTCTGCCAAAGGAAAGAAGTTTTATTTCTGTGTGTTCCGGTTGGAGAGTTCTCCTCACATCCTGTTTGGTAAAGGTTGTCAGCAGGACAGGAAGAGAGAGGAAGTCTCTCTAATGGATAGTTTAAAAAACACATGACAGGGGTTCTAACCCTTCCCATTTTATTCAACGCTACTTCAGATGTTGCTCGCTAACATTGGTGAATTGCAGGGATAGCTGCAAGAAAACACGCAGGCTTGCAGATCACAGCACCCTCAAGATGAAGGCACTGCTGGCAGGAGGCATAAACACCATTATGCCAGCGTGGTGGCATCCCACCCGTGCAACACCAGAATCAGGGACAGTACAGATAGCAGGCTATGAAAGAAATAAAAATGATAAAAGATTGAAGTGATTATTTTCAATGAAATCTGTGATGTGAGAAAAACATAGGCTGCCAATGTTAGTCACTTGGCTGTCATGCTGAACCTCTGGCTTCAATGCTGTTCTCAGTAACTGTACCGGAATAAGTACCTTTCCTCTACCATATCTTGCTACGCACTAGTTCTAGTCAGTCTTGACATAAAATAATCAGCATGACAGCCAGGCAAATGGTATGATCAGGTGGCAAGCAATACAAGCTCACATTCGTCTCATGACAGCTACCTGGTGCCCAACCTCCAGCTTGAGGGCCACATGCGGTCCCTACATTTTTGATGCACTTGGACCCCAGCAGTGTTCAATGGGAGTGGTAAAGGGGTAGTAGCAGTGATCTCGATTAACCTCATGTAACATGTTCCCAGTCACTAACTGTCTTCTGCAGCATGTCTGCAGTCTCCCATCATCATTTCCTCTAGTATGTCCTCAGTCTCCCATCATCATTCCTCTAGTATGTCAGCAGTCTCCCATCATCATTCCTCTAGTAGGTCCGCAGTCTCCCATCATCATTCCTCTAGTATGTCCGCAGTCTCCCATCATCATTCCTCTAGTAGGTCCGCAGTCTCCCATCATCATTCCTCTAGTATGTCCGCAGTCTCCCATCATCATTCCTCTAGTAGGTCCGCAGTCTCCCATCATCATTCCTCTAGTATGTCCGCAGTCTCCCATCATCATTCCTCTAGTAGGTCCGCAGTCTCCCATCATCATTCCTCTAGTATGTCCGCAGTCTCCCATCATCATTCCTCTAGTAGGTCCGCAGTCTCCCATCATCATTCCTCTAGTATGTCCGCAGTCTCCCATCATCATTCCTCTAGTAGGTCCGCAGTCTCCCATCATCATTCCTCTAGTATGTCCGCAGTCTCCCATCATCATTCCTCTAGTAGGTCCGCAGTCTCCCATCATCATTCCTCTAGTATGTCCGCAGTCTCCCATCATCATTCCTCTAGTAGGTCCGCAGTCTCCCATCATCATTCCTCTAGTATGTCCGCAGTCTCCCATCATCATTCCTCTAGTAGGTCCGCAGTCTCCCATCATCATTCCTCTAGTATGTCCGCAGTCTCCCATCATCATTCCTCTAGTAGGTCCGCAGTCTCCCATCATCATTCCTCTAGTATGTCCGCAGTCTCCCATCATCATTCCTCTAGTAGGTCCGCAGTCTCCCATCATCATTCCTCTAGTATGTCCGCAGTCTCCCATCATCATTCCTCTAGTAGGTCCGCAGTCTCCCATCATCATTCCTCTAGTATGTCCGCAGTCTCCCATCATCATTCCTCTAGTAGGTCCGCAGTCTCCCATCATCATTCCTCTAGTATGTCCGCAGTCTCCCATCATCATTCCTCTAGTAGGTCCGCAGTCTCCCATCATCATTCCTCTAGTATGTCCGCAGTCTCCCATCATCATTCCTCTAGTAGGTCCGCAGTCTCCCATCATCATTCCTCTAGTATGTCCGCAGTCTCCCATCATCATTCCTCTAGTAGGTCCGCAGTCTCCCATCATCATTCCTCTAGTATGTCCGCAGTCTCCCATCATCATTCCTCTAGTAGGTCCGCAGTCTCCCATCATCATTCCTCTAGTATGTCCGCAGTCTCCCATCATCATTCCTCTAGTAGGTCCGCAGTCTCCCATCATCATTCCTCTAGTATGTCCGCAGTCTCCCATCATCATTCCTCTAGTAGGTCCGCAGTCTCCCATCATCATTCCTCTAGTATGTCCGCAGTCTCCCATCATCATTCCTCTAGTAGGTCCGCAGTCTCCCATCATCATTCCTCTAGTATGTCCGCAGTCTCCCATCATCATTCCTCTAGTAGGTCCGCAGTCTCCCATCATCATTCCTCTAGTATGTCCGCAGTCTCCCATCATCATTCCTCTAGTAGGTCCGCAGTCTCCCATCATCATTCCTCTAGTATGTCCGCAGTCTCCCATCATCATTCCTCTAGTAGGTCCGCAGTCTCCCATCATCATTCCTCTAGTATGTCCGCAGTCTCCCATCATCATTCCTCTAGTAGGTCCGCAGTCTCCCATCATCATTCCTCTAGTATGTCCGCAGTCTCCCATCATCATTCCTCTAGTAGGTCCGCAGTCTCCCATCATCATTCCTCTAGTATGTCCGCAGTCTCCCATCATCATTCCTCTAGTAGGTCCGCAGTCTCCCATCATCATTCCTCTAGTATGTCCGCAGTCTCCCATCATCATTTCCTCTAGTATGTCCTCAGTCTCCCATCATCATTCCTCTAGTATGTCAGCAGTCTCCCATCATCATTCCTCTAGTAGGTCCGCAGTCTCCCATCATCATTCCTCTAGTATGTCCGCAGTCTCCCATCATCATTTCCTCTAGTATGTCTGCAGTCTCCCAACATCATTTCCTCTAGTATGTCCTCAGTCTCCCATCATCATTCCTCTAGTATGTCCGCAGTCTCCCATCATCATTCCTCTAGTATGTCCGCAGTCTCCCATCATCATTTCCTCTAGTATGTCTGCAGTCTCCCAACATCGTTTCCTCTAGTATGTCTGCTGTCTGCGACCGTCCTCTCTAGCTTTTCATGTATTGAAACTTACGTGCAGCCCCTTGGTGATGTCAAGGGCCACACTTATGGTAGACCCCGAAAATGTTTGGTTATAGGACATAATCATTCTATTATTACTTTACTATTCAGGATTTATATCGCGCCAACCCTTTTCACAGCGGGGTTCTACTTTAAGACCGCCATGATTGTTTCCTGTAGTCATTACGAGAGATAAAACAAGTGGCACTAGACTGTAATAAGAAATCGGGACAAAAGTGCTTGGCTGTTCCAAAGGGATGAAAAACGCAAGTGAGAAGATTTTCTCTGAGAAGGGAATTAACCTGGAACATCTATTAGATTGTGTAACGGCGAGCAGTTAATATTAATATACCTGGGTGAAATAACGCGTCAGCGCCGGTCGTATATCGGGATGCTGGGCCGTTTGATAAACAGTAATAGTCTCCAGTGGTACATCTGTAATTAGAAAATAAAAATGTATTTCTATAAAACAGGCTGTCCCGTGACATCGGCCTATTACAAAGACCTACACCTGCAATTTCACCGAGGGGGAACAGAAGCACTAAAACCATCGGACATTTCTTATGGAAATCCAGATAATACAATAAAGTATTTGCGGCGCGGAGGATACGCTTGGCAATCCTCATCACGAAGTGAGAAGCCTCCGCAGATTAAAGAGAGCCGGGATGCAACACTTATGAAGAGCTGTCGGTGTTCCTGCAACACGCACTTTGCATTTCCCTTCAATTTTCAAGCATAGATGAGGTACGGGGCCCTTAGGGTGGCAGGTAGAGCCTCTGCGGGGTTCCTATGTTATCTATGCCAATGGTAAATCTGTATGCAAGTGTGAATTTGGCAATTGACAGCTTGGTCGGGAGCCGTAAATCCAAAATTGCTTTAAAAGGTATCTATGGTCAAAAACTAAAAAAAAATCTGCATTTTTATATTGAATTTCCATAAGTTCTCTCCCACTCCTAATACCCAGATTCATCTAGAAGCATGTACTTGCTTATTAAGTATGCCCATAGGCAGGGCCAGATGTCCCACAAGGCCAACCAAGGCCCGGCCTCGGGGCAGCAGGGGTGTGGAATTCCTATCTCCCGATGCCCAGGACATGCAGTTCCGGGCGTCGGGGGGCGGGTAGCTGTTTTCTACATTTAGCCCTGCTTTGGGCAAGCAGAGCTAAATGTACAGCGGGGAAGCCGCCGCTTGTTTTGTACAAGTGATCTCGGCGATGTCTCACTTGTATGCAGCCTGCAGGTCTGCAATTCTCCATGGGTGGAAGTTGGTGGGTAGGGGGGTTGCATTGAGGAAGATGGCCTTGGGGCAGCAGAGAGAATAAATCCAACCCTGCCCATAGGATGTCCTGACCCAGTCGAAGCCCGTGTGTCACCACTCTCACAGAGCTTATCTTCTGAAGTACAACTCAACGTCTGAACAATGTAACCTCATCATTGCATGCTGGAAGCAATGCATGCAGGCATATGTAGTCTTTAGAAATGGAGTGTGCATCACATCAAGCAGCGGGGAAACAGACACAAAGCACACTGGGAATCCAGGAAGTTGATGGAAGTGATGGGCAGACAGAAGGCAGAACTCACTACATAAAAGGGAATTTTTTCAAGTAAGCTTTGATTGCATTATCAGAAACACCTCCAGTATGTATTCCTATTACAATGCTGTTATTATATAACAGGAGAGGATATGCTGGGACTTTACAACTCCTTTAAAAGCTACTGAATTTGCTAATTAGTCACTTCCTGTCTTTGTGGAGGGGTTCCTGGTTCCTCCTATAACCCAAAAACATTCATCCACACAGCTCTGATCATGCATGCAATACAGACCCCCTTTTATCATGAGAATACAAACCTATCTCCTTAAGTCTCTTGGGAAGGACTTCCCTTTTCAGAGCGCCACAAGGAAACAAAATAGGTGCTGAATAGGACATGCTCTCTGAAAAAACAAAGCAAAAGTATGAATGTTATTATGACTTTTTTTTATTTCAGTTCCCTAGACAAAAACGAGCACTTAAAGTAAACATTAAAGCATATGCCCACCCCCATGCTGCTGTAAGGACTTGCCTCAAGTGATTCCTCTTGATGTGATCATCTCCTTCCTTCCACTTGTTCCACCTGTCCATCCAGCGCTGGTGCCGGTCTCTGATCCAGCGCAAACTGCTGCCTTCCTGCTACTTCCTGTCCCACGTAGTCTGTCCGACGTGCACGCTCCTGGCTGCATGCATTGACTTACACTGTGTCTCTCCTCCTCCCGCCGCCGGTGATCTCCACTGCACACATCCTCTTGCACGGCCGCTTGTGAAGCTGGATTTTACAGCTGGGAGCCAGCGGCAGAGACACAGGTAACTTTTTACCTATTTGGTGACTTTTTTCTGTTTTTGCATTTATCTACTGCTTGCTAGCAGTACCTATATGCAAAAAAAAAAAAAAAAAAACTTTAATACCAGTTTAATCCTTGTAGTGCGGCGGTAGCCCCACTGCAAGGGTTAAGATTTGATTTGCCCGGAGTTCTGTTTTAAGTGCTCATTTTGGTCTAGGTGCAAAAATAACAAAGTTATATTCACCCAAGCCTCAAAGCTGGCTTGCTCTTAGACCTTGCCTTTCAGGCTCTCTCCCGCTCTATTCCAACGGTCCAAGGTCACGTAAGTCATCGCGTCCTATACAAGTATTGGAGGTGAGGACACTGAGTAACATACCATTGCTGCAGAGAAAGAGGAGACATGCTTGAGGGAGAGCTCTGACAGCCAGCTCTGATGCTCAGGTGAGTATAACTTTGTTATTTTTGCACCTAGACCAAAAGAAGCACTTAACCCTTGTAGTGCGGGGGGGGGGGGTGGGTAGCCCCACTGCAAGAGTTAAAAAAACATTTCCCCGAGTTCTGCTTTAAGGTGTACTAAATAATCAGAGGTTTTGTCATCATGGATTACCTTCCGTCATCAATGGGGTTAAAACATGATCCATTTTTTTCCCGGAATGTATTCTGCTTGCTTCTGACTCAGACACCATTGTATGCAGGTTTTCATTGGCAGGGGGGACCACATAAAAGGGCTTTTTTTCTACTTCCACAGATAGAATTGCAGCCTTTTCATTTCTATAATAGGGGTTGTGTAGTGACGGTAGAGACCTACAGCTAGCGCTCAATAGAGTTCCTTGTTCATAAAATATTCACAGACTTCAAACATTTGTTTCATATGGACACACGCACAGCAGCGTCCCCATCTAAGCTGCGCATCCCAGCCGGTGTGCAGCAGCCACAATTGCGCCGACAAGATCAATTCCGCACTGGCAACAAGCGACGCAGAGAGAGAGAACGAAAAGCTCTTTAGAAAAATCAATGCTCGCATGAGCGGTAATAAAGTGTGAAGGAAATATACATTATTGCTGATCTTTTTAAAGACATAATTCATCCTTCTCATTTGACATAACGTAGTGTGTAACCAAGAATCCTTTGATCTCCTCGGCTTCAAAAAATCTTTCATTTCATTTTCAAGAGAGGTGAGCAAATTGATACGTCTGTAGACGGAAATGGCAGAAGTGAGAGAAGTTATTTGCCGAGTTAAAAATAACCAGATTTAGTCACAAAGCGAGAATGATTATTCTATCAGAGCATCAACAGCATGTTTGTCACTTCCTAAATATAGAGGTGTTGAAGTAAAGAGGTATTTATATCTTCATGGATTAAATAAAAAACCTCACGTCAAAGCTGACTGAACGCACCCTCCATTCAAAGTGAACCTGTACTTGGCCCACTTTAGGCAAAGTGACAGATTTCATTTAAAGTATATCAGTCAAAAATATTTTTCCCCATTTTCGATAGAGTAGGAAGCATGAGAATCATCATAAGGGTCAATGAAGGCTGGAGTCCCTTTAGATTGTGTCTTTAAACCACTCTTCTATTCCCAAAACTGAAATATCAACCATTTCTGAACCTTGGGCGTAGGCAGTGGCGTCACAAGGGTGGTCCGGGTGACTGACAGTCATTTTGGTGTCACCCCTTTTGAAAGGTCGGGCACTCGGTCATAGGCCGAGAGCCCGACAGTTTTAGGAGAGAGGAGGGGACCTGGCGGCATATCTTATCCCGCCGGGTGAACGTCTACTCCTCTCTCTCTGCCGGCGTCCATCACCAAGATGGCTGCCGGCAGGTAGCAATAAGATGGCTGCGCATGTGCGTGGTGATGTCATGCGCATGCACAATTACATCACAGTGGGGTGTCACCCGGTATCTGCTATTTAGGAGATATGCCCTAATAAAACAAAAAACCTTCACCATTGTTCCCAGTGCTCAGGGCTGGATTAGGAGCATCAAGGACCTGGGGCTGTCGGACAGGAAGCAGCAGAGGTGGCTCTCTAATTAGGAAAGCGGCTGCCGAATATGCCTGATTAGAGAGGTGCCTGTGCCTCCGCCTGATTGTATTCAGCCCGGAGGCCATCAGGCATACCAAGGCAATCTGGGCCCGCTGGGCCTATTTTTAGTGGTAAACCTGGAGCTTGAATTTTAGAATGTGTTATGTTTATCTCTTGACTGTAATTACATTTTATTTTATTTTAACTTTTTTTAATTGTTGTTAACTTTTTTCCTTTTTTTAAGTTTAAAAACTTCTAAAAACTGTTTAAAACTTTTTTTTAAACTGGGGTCACTAAAGGGTTACATTTTTATTTACAGGGACTTTGGATACTTAGTACTCTGAGGAGACACTGTAATCTCCTCAGAGATACTTTGTATCACACTGATCCGGCTTCCATTTCCACAACACAGTGAGCTGCAAGCCAGATCAGTGGCTGTAAAAGCACTGTGATCACTTGGCTATTGCAGTGATCCCATTGCTGAGCCCCCCTAATTTGCGGTTGAGGGTCTGCCTCGGACACCGAGGGACCCAGCAACAGTACAAATCTCATGAGCGCCGGTCCTGCTACAGACCAGCGCTTATTTTCCTGACGGAATGATTCTATCACCGTCCTTTAACTAACTGAAAGATTGTGACGGAATAATTTCGACATCGGTCGGGAAGGCGTAAAGTGATATTAAAGTCAAAAAAAGTTTAAGCTATATTACATGCTAATGAAATCACTTACAATGGATGCTGCTCCTTGATGTTTAAAAGTTTTAGTTTCCTGCAGAATCATCTGATCCCCTGATCACTGGTCCTGACTTCCTGTTTTACAGTGACTCCTTTCTCAAGTGCCACAGAGTTACCCGTCTGTGTGTGCCAGTAAGTTGTATGTGTCTCCACACACATACAGACACAGCAGCTCAAGCTACTCCCCTCCCCCCCCCATGGCCCCCACCTGCAAGCTAGTAGTTGAACAGCTGCTGGAGTCTGCTCTGTCCTTTGTGATCTTGTACTGCACAGCAAGTTCAGGGAAGCTGAACTGAGAGACTTGGAAGCAGCTGTTCAGAAACATGATGATTGCAAGTATTTGACCAAAAAAGTATAGAAATGCTTTGCTGAGCAATGTATATCTGTTTGATCTGAATTCATTACTGAAAAAAAGTTTGGGAGTTTAATATTATTTTAATGTGACATTATAAACAGGACAAGTGATAGAATAAAATGTATACTTATATCAACACAAAGTAGCAAATTATTTTTCCATTTTTGTATTCCTTTGTCTAGGAGTACATACATAATAACATTATTTTATGCCAGACAATATTGCCAAAAAGAAAGACTTGTTTTTTTTTAAAGAAATGATACTGGTATGTGTATTACTTTGCTATTGAGTTACAGCAGGGGTGCCCACAATTGTTTGTGTTAAGATCTACTTTTCAAATGATGAGCTACATGAGATCTACCAAGGAAAAAAAACCTCCCTCGCTCTCTCTCCTGGCTGTCTCTCTTCGCTCTCCTTGCTCTCTCTCCTGGCTGTCTCTCCTCTCTCTCCATGCTGTCGTTCCTGCTCTCTCTCTACTGGCTGTCATTCCTCGTTTTCTCTCCCCGCTCTCTCTCCTGGCTGTCTCTCCTTGCTCTCTCTCCTGGCTGTCTCTCCTTGCTCTCTCTCCTGGCTGTCTCTCCCCGCTCTCTCTCCTGGCTCACCTTGCTGTATTTTGCAAACAGTGCAGTGCAACAGGCTGTGTAAACTAATATTCTTTGATGTAATACATAGCAGCACTTCAACCACTAGTATCCACCCGAAAGGTGTCGGGGAGATCGGCTCAACAGACTCAGGCTAATAGGTAATCACGTGTGCACAGCTAAATAAATATACCAAAATGGAATAAAGGGGCCACCATTCACACTCTTCGTGATCTACCAGCATCAGCTTTGAGAGCTACTGGTAGATCACGATCTACCTAATGGGCACCCATGAGTTACAACAAAGTTTCTGCTTAATCCATAGGCCCATAGAATGTAAAAAAACTGTCCCATAATGGCTTTACCAGTTGGAGAGCTGAAGTGGTTAAACAGACTTTAGAATCCCCAGCATCAGGGTAGGTGGGCAATTTATTGTAGATTTTAGAAGGAAAAAAATAAATACTCCTTATTCCTCGGTAAGAACAGAATAAAGGCATCAATGAACATTTCAGTGACTCTTTGAAAGCCATGCCGTGCAAAACAGGAGACTTGAAACGCACGTTATTCTGTGTTTCCAAGAACTAGAAGGAGATTTTGTCATCCTACTTCCCCAAGAGGCTGAATTTCCATTGAAAGTACATTAAAGCACTTTCTTCCCTCTTTAGAGTCCTCTTTGAAGTCTGTAGGTAGAAGAGAGAGGGCCAGCACAAGCGGAGACACTAAGAGGTCTCTGCTACATTGTACGCAATAGGAATCAAGGAAGTCAACCCCGAAGTCATTCATATCAGCTTTTAACGGTGTAGAAATAATACTCATTCTGCTATCTACAGTTAGGCAAGCTTTTGAAGCTGGCTACAGACATACGATCTGGCCAATCTCCTGGCTTCACCTGTTGTCCAACCATACCCAAAAGGAAGAGGAGGATGTAAAGTACAGATATGAAGAACCTTGTCCAATCAGGTTTCCATCCAACAGGCAGGACCAGGACACTTAATTACTGCTATCCTTTCTCCTCCACTTTCCCAAGACCAGGGGTGGACAAATTAATATGGAATTGAGGAGCCAGTAGGATGTTTTTAGGAGCCAGCTCTGTTGACCACAACTAGACAAAACCTCAAAAGTTACTCGGTAGCTGTAATTTTTAAGGAGCATTGGCTACCTGGCTCTTGCCCTGCACTAAACACATTCAACCCCAGCAGCCACTAGAAATACATCAAACCACACAAACCTCTATAACCCATCTGTAGGGTGGATGTGTGGCCAAACTGTGACACCCTACAGATCCAGACATAGAAAAGAGCCAGCACTCCAGCTGAATTTCCAAGATGACAGTTTACAGTCCTCACCAGTAGTGTGGAGCCTGGGCTTGGTGCGAACCCAGTTCCCTCAAGCCTGCTCAAAACTATGACCGTGACCCCTCTTCTCGAGACCCAATTAGTTGCAGTGGGGGGCATTCCCGGCCCCTTTGTGCTGTGTAGCTGTGGGGCAGGGAACGCGTCTCTCCGCAACAGATTGCACAGTCACAGTTTTGAGGGGGTTGGGCAAACTCAGGCAAACTGGGTTCAAACCTAGCCCAGGCTCATCAGCACCCACCAGGCGTGCTTCCAGCCGGTAATCTATGGAATTAACCACCTCCAAATTTCTCTGGCCACCTTCACCCTGACACAGACTGGGATTTGCAAAACTATACAGAAAAAAAGAAGCTGAAAGAAAAAAAAAATCATGATTTTTGTAGTGAACCAAAAGGGTTTCCGTATATTTGCCCATGGCTTAATATTATTATTATTATTATTACTGGTTTCATGACATATACACAGGAGACAACATACTGAGACCACTTACTTGAGCAGATGAAGTCTGCCAGCTTTTCTGCATTGCCAGATGTCTCACCTTCTGAAGACAGGCCAAGGTCTTCCACTGGAACACACAAGAGTGCGTATGTTAGAGCAACATTAAAAAAATAAAACATATTCAGAATATCTGTACTCATGTACATTTCCTTGTATTGTGTCTCTTTAAAAAAAAGGTGCAATTATAGAAATATCAAATATAATGTATTTTCCCCATACAGATATATATATAGGATAATCAATATCCAAAATAGTTGGATTGTCCTATATTGGGATCTCTATATAAGAAAAATACATTATATTTGAGATTCAATAAACAAGAGACCCATATAGGTTTATAAACTGTATACAAATTTGTGTAGTTGTCCCCTTTCCCCATTGTATATTATAGTCATAGAAATATATGTTGATCCCGTACCAATGTACAATGTGGACAGGGTGAAGAGTCTGCAGGAGCCAGCGCTTTGCACCCACGTTCCACTGATCATGGTTGCAATGCTCTACTGGCTCCAATGCAATTCTTCTTTTCTTTTATGAAGAAGTGTGCATTTCATATTTTTTTCTAAAATGTGGACTATGTCTTTAAGGCTCTGCTTCCTGTCTTGCGGTGCTACACAACGGTTATTATTTATGGCTCCTTTTCACAATGAGAATATACAAATCAATTAGCTCATTAAAAACAATGTCTTCCCTGTGTGCCGATATCTAATCTCAGTGGTTGTTAAAAGACAATGCAAATATCACCAAGGAACAACAAGCTCCCTCCAGTGGCAAACTCCACATCTCCGTATGTAATATGGTTACAAAAATATGAATGAGCATGCTTTTAAACATTCAAAAATCATATCCAGAATTACATCAAAATAAACACTGCAAAAGTAACTTAAAAATTCACTGTGCTTTCCCTTAACAGGAACTGTCTGTGCTACTCCACAGCAACTAACCAGACTCCATGCTTTAATTTTCCAAGCGTTAAAATACAGGTAAACCCAGTGACAAAAATCTCATTTAAACTTTAATGTGTGAATGTAATTTGAAATATATATATACTGCCTGGCCAAAAAAAGTGTCACATACTCTAATATTTCATTGGACCACCTTTAGCTTTGATTACGGCACACATTCGCTGTGGCATCACCGTAAGCTGTATGCAATGTCACAACAATTATTTCTGTCCAGAGTTGTATTACATTTTTACCAAGCTCTTGTAGTGATGATGGGAGAGCCAGAGCACTGCGTAGTCTTCTCCAGCACATCCCAAAGATTCTCAATGGGGATAAGGTCTGGACTCTGTGGTGGACATTCCATGTGTGATAATGATGTCTCATGCTCCCTAAACCACTCGTTTAGGGAGCATGAGACTCGTTTAGAAAACTCCATTGATAGAAAAACCTGGTCATTCAGTATATTCAGGTCAGCAGCTGACCTCATTTTTTTGGGGATATAACATTGCTGAACCTAGATCTGACCAACTGAAGCAACCCCAGATCATAACGCTGCCCAAAATCCAGGTAGTGACTTTTTTTTGGCCAGGCAGTGTGTTTTCAACAGTTTTAAGTCTAGATGCAGGTAGTCTGCAGCTTCCATTGATATAATAAATAGTGATCCTGATTTGAGGGTCCTAGTCCAGGCCCTTCCTGATAAAGGACGACAATGCTCTGCTCCTGTCTCCCAACTTGTATCCTACATTGTCTCCCTGCCACATTGCCTTCTTAAGGAGTGGCCATTTCAGCTCACATTAGTCAGGCATGGTCTACTGACAGATGCTATGCATCGCACGACAGCATGCAGATAGGAAGAGGTTGCTGAAAGGCCGCAGGAGATCAGCAGCAATGAGATAAATCAAAGCATTAATAAAAGGGTGAAAACACATAATTTATTGTAATAATTGCAAATGTTTATAATACATGGAGCGTTATTCATAAAAGGGTGAAGAGTTTGGAGAAGGCAAGAGAAGAGAAGGCAAGAGAAGTGAACAATCTAGGACAGCATAGCTGAACCGGAAAGTAAGCTGAATTGCAGAATTTCTCCTATTTTGTCCTAGATTGTTCACTTCTCCTCCCTTCTCCAAACTCTTCACCCTTTTGTGAATAACCCTGACTGTATTATAAAAATAAAATATCAATCAGTTAGGGTAGGAAAATGTAAATATGGAGACAATTCTGGTGGTTTGCGTATCAGTTTACCAAGTCTGGCCATCACTGAAGAGTCACACGGTGACCCATCTGTCATTAGTGGCGTTCAAACTGTTAACGCCGCTTCCGAAAGCGGTCCACATATGACCAGCATTTCCGATAGGCCCTATGAGTTGCTACGTGACGCTTAACGACGATTAGCTAAAATAAGGAGATGCTATCATTTCAGGCGAACGCACTTTACACAAGACGGAGGAAAATAAAACAGCTTATCAGACAGGAGGAGATTGGCATCTGCTTCTGTTTAAATATTTAGAAGATTGTAATTAGCCAACAATTAAAGCTTGCTCAAGAGAAAAAAACATCTCAGATAGCTTGATGATGAAGGTAATTTAAATGCTGCTCAGTGAAATGAACCCAGATAGAGACATGGCTGCATTAAAGATTCATTTGATGAGAGAGTAATGACGCCATAGATCAGAACACATTGCTACAGCCATTAACAAGCTCTTTAATACCAACGGGTCACCAAAGCGTATTTACTAACACGTGCAGGAGATAAGAAGGAGTTCGACAAACCTTTCACTATGCAAAGAAATAGAACCAACCCAGCCTCACTGAAAAGGAAGATGGTGTTTAACAAAAGAGATAACTCAACAGAACAAACAGCTAAAACTTTGTTTTGAAGCTTCAGATAGACTCGGGAAGCCACTTCATGTCTATCTACTGCAGCTTACCAGTCTAGGATGTGGTTGTCAGGGCTGTCTGTGCCCCCATAAGGCCATTAGAGGCGGCCACAGGCATCACTTATGGGGATATGGCAGGGTAGCACTGAGGCCAGGGTGTCCATACTGGGCAGTCTGTTCACATAGCACCTCAGGATTGCTGAGCCTGATAAAAGCAAAGGTCCAGCATTACTGAGCTCCCTGTTGGGTCGCTGCCCATGTTACTGCACATGCAATTTTTTGAGGGAGTTGGAGATTAAAATTGACTAGTGGTGGATGTATTACTTTTAATTTTTCAGGCTTCTTTTCCTTTTTTTTACCTGGTGATCCTGCCAGTAACACACTTCCTGTCTCTGTATGGCAACGCTAACTCATTGTACTGTAGCTATATAGGAGCAGCGTTGTCACTCTAGGACAGGAAGTATGTTAGTAATACAGAACACCTACCCTCTCTTATTGCCCTAAGCGGGGTGAAGCCTTAAATTTAGTTCTGCTGGACTGCATCCAGTCTAGCTAATTTGGTAGCCTGGGCTCATTTGGTTTCCCCTAAGCTCTCCGATTTTTTTTGCATCTGCCTGCTGCTGGGTATGACCTTGCCACAGAGCAGAGCATTCAAAAATGTGTTATGAAATCAATAGGTTTGTCTCCCTAGCCAAGAACTAGGAGGTTCATGGCCAGTGGTACATGCTGGGGGAGGACATAAATAATCAGGGCTGACCTCATGAGTCTCTTTTTCCCCCCCGGGCCTCCTTCCTGAGGGAGGTGCGTGAAGTGATGTGCTGTCTGACCAGGCCTCCAGCCTGCAGGTGGTCGCGTATAGACCCAATTGGGGGTGTGAATCTGTTCCTGGGATGGAGAATCAGGGAGGAACTTCTTATGCTGGAAATATCAGATAAGCCAGAATGGGCTTGGACCTCGCAGGAAGTCTGGTGTCTCATCAAGGGAATTCTGTGCTATGTCTGCTAACCATAGCACACAGTGTCACGGCAAAAGGTTTAAAGGTCCTCTTCACTGTAAAGCTGGGATGTGGTTAGTGAGTCTGAAGTTCTGTACTGTCCTATATGTCTGTAGCCTTTTGTCCTATTTCCAAATGAGATACTGATGGAATAAAACCTTTAAAAACCCTCAAAGTGCCTGGCTCCCAACTTTACATTCACATCCTACAACCGGCTAAGGACTCATCCCTGAGGTGAAATGTCAGCCCACCCTGCCTCTGATATCCCTCATATGCAGGGGGGTGCTACACCCATAAGATAGGGGAGGAGTTCTGTAGGTTATAAAAGTAACTTGAGCAGGGCTGATAATAATGCTTAAGGAAGTGAATGGTAATCTCCCCAATGGGACATAGATGGCAAAAAAAATTAAGAAAAGCTGACCGGGAATGTAACCTTTCCTTACTGTATCCAAAACTAGAAAAATACACTTTGGCTTCAATTCTACTTTAAGAGATTGAGACTGCTCATACAACGTCATAGATGTGTCCAACAGCTCTCACAGGGCCAGCAATTACCAAGAAGCTGCTCTTACAGGCTCTCGTACTTAGGAATACCTGAGCTATTTTCAAGTATCCTGCACCCCTAAACCCTCTCCTAGAATGGAGTTCAGCAATAAAAAGGTAAGAAGACTAAAGTGACTGGCATCCAACTTCTTCTTCTCTCCACCATACACCAAGACCCAGCCCGTGAGATAGAAATGTTAGCCTAAAGAGAAGTATGGACACCGGCACTCCAAAATGCAAGTCAACTGCGTCTATTTACTGGCGTAAATTCAGCAAATTACACTAAAATGTGATTTGTTGCATTTACGTCAATAAATGGACGCATTTGACTTGCATTTTGGAGTGCCGGTGTCCATACTTCTCTTTGTGCATAGAGACGGTTGTCATCCCTCAACTACAGTTGCACCCACCTAATCTAAATGGAAAAAGCGGTCAGGGGTGCGATGGGTTCATGAACCGTCATCAACAATGTTAGCCTGTCGCACTACTTAAAGGGTCACTCCATATCACCCTGGATGGGGAGTGCTACATAATATTACCAAAAGTCAGTCTACTTTGTTGGAAGTGTCCAACCAATATGCCATCATTCTACCGGGTGAGATGTTATTGGGCACGGGATCCAGAGATATAGTTAAGATTGACATTGTCAGCAGATCAGTGAAAAAATTATAAACATATCTTATTTTATAGGGGTCCTCACATTTTTGGGGTCTCCAGTAATTGGAAGATCAGTACTAAAGTTATTTTATTGAAGGATTTCCAGAAAAAATGCCTCACTGATGACCAAGCGAGCGATTCTGTACTTTAGTCATCCAATGTTGTCTATAGAATACGTATCCAGATACAACAATCCTTACATATGTAATATTCATCAAGGGCAAATGGGACAGTCGCGGCTATAAATACTATTTTCAAAAGTAACTATTTTGCTGCCATGTCTTTCAGCTTTAGTCTAGCGAAGAAGGTAAACATGGCTTTAAAATAAATCTGTGTGTGTTAATGTTTGTATACCGCAACATGGGCCAAGTCAGGTCAACAGAAAATAATCAGCTTTGCCATCATTTTCACTGGCATCCTGCACACAACGGTGTCCCTGTCAAACAGTTCTCCTCAAAAGCCTGAAAGTCGTGCTAAATAGCAGTGTGGCAGAAATCTCAGAGCCGCAATTAAACCTTGAGCCCCGGTCTTCTATGCAGCTAGAAAAAAATAAAAGGTACAGGAACACACTAGAAGATCAGACTCGGTAAGTATGTGTCTGCCCTGAGCAAGTCTGGGCTTCTGGTGTGTTGTGGAACTAAAATGATAATGTTGAACTGTTTAAATAGCCACAAAGGATATGAATCCACAGTGTGTGTACCTAGTGCCTTTCAAACACTGATATTACCTTGTAAAAATATCAGTGACATCATCACTGTGATGCACATAGCTTGTGCAGGGAGCAGAGCTGTTAGAGGCACCGAACAGGCTCCACCCACTTCCATCTGTCTGCAGAAAACTACAGGATGGGGCAGATACAAGGCCAGTCACCCCGAACAAAGAGAATGCAGCAATGACTGGTCTTCATTACAGGAAACTCATGCGCAGAGGTAACACTTCATACTGGTTTACCTCACAGAAAGACACAAGGCACACCAAGATTCAAGTAGGAAAATACCTTCCTCTGGTATGTAGATAACATTGGCTTATCCCTAAGTTCAATGGTGTTGGGTACTAGATGGTCCCAAGATGGTGTTGGGTACTAGATGGTCACTAGATAGTGTTGGGTACTAGATGGTCACTAGATAGTGTTGGGTACTAGATGGTCACTAGATGGGGTTGAGTACTAGATGGTCACTAGATGGTGTTGGGTACTAGATGGTCACTAGATGGTGTTGGGTACTAGATGGTAACTAGATGTGGTTGGGTATTAGATGGTCACTAGATGGGGTTGGGTATTAGATGGTCACTAGATGGTGTTGAGTACTAGATGGTCACTAGATGGTGTTGGGTACTAGATGGTCACTAGATAGTGTTGGGTACTAGATAGTCACTAGATGGGGTTGGGTATAAGATGGTCACTAGATAGTGTTGAGTGCTAGATGGTCACTAGATGGTATTGGGTACTAGATGGTCACTTGATGGTGTTAGGTAATAGATTGTACCTAGATGATGTTGGGTACTAGATGGTCCCTAGATGGTTCTGGGGACTAGATAATCCCAAGGTGGCATTGGGTGGTAGATGGTCCCTAAATGGTATTGGTGCCTAAATGGGATGGTGCCTAGATGGTGTTTGGTACTAGATAGTCCCTAGACAGTGCAGGGTCTTAGATAGTCCCCTATATCGTACTAGGTGCTAGATGGTACTGGGTACCAGATGGTCCCTAGATGATGCTGACTACTAGATGGTCCCTAGATAGAGTTTGGCATTGGATAGTCCCTAGATGGTACTGGGTACCAGATGGTGTCTAGATGGTCCCTCGAAAGGGTTGGGTACTTACCCAGGGCAGCCGTAGCTTTGCCAACTACATAGACAGGTTTGGAATTCCATTTGTTTTTCAAAGAACGCTCCCAAGCTGGAAGACAAACCCGGAAACACATCAGCAAAGGAACATCCAGACAAACAATACATTAAATCTACAGCTTGACCATCATAATACAGTGCCTATCATGGACAGATCTATAAACTTCATCAATCAGGTTCTGTCAATGTAGAGCTGATCCTCTTTTAGCTTCTTCCTATCTACATGCATCTGCTCCAGCATCAATGGCACATCAATCTTTAGGACCGATTTACTTATAGTTACAATAATGAACAATGCCTGGGTATTGTGAGCTGGCATGGCAACTTGTAGTTTCTCCAGGGACATGTGTGACAGGATCATAATGCAAAACATAATTGGGAGACCATAATGGTTAGATCAACAGGTAATCATTAAATGTACTCATTTTAAGGTGCCCACTACTGCTCCTTCCATCCTCTGTCACTATATCACCAGGGTTTGACAGCAGCTCCCAAACACAGCCTTCCAATATGACAAATGACAGAGCTCCGGCTGTCTTTTGAAGTGTCCTTGTGCCGAGGCAGCATCACCAATAGGCAGTGGCGGAGCTAAGGAACAAAGGGCCCTGGGGCAAGTTAACAATTAATATTGTTAACTTTAACTTTGTTCATTTAAAAATTATTAAAGGAGAACTATGAGGTGAGTGATTTTCACTCAACCTCATTAGAGATGGGGGGCCCGCTGGCCGCTGGGTATTGATCCGGCGCTGGGACTGTGCTGGGCCCCCTAGAGGCCCGAGGCCCCGGTGCGTTCGCACCGCCTGCACCGGCGGTAGTTCCGCCACTGCCAATAGGCTATTTGTATAGATGATGTAATTGAAAGCAGATCTAAACCCAAAAACTAAAATGTAATACATTGCAGGCTTACCAGCCTTTAGATGTGGTAGTTGCATTCATTTTCCTTTATTAGGTTTTTTCCCTTTATATAAACTTGGCAATGCTGCAGATAACACATTTCCTGAGTGTCTACACTCATCTATCCACTGTATCTATGGATGGAGCCATGGTTCTGGACTACAAATATGTCTGCCATTGCTCATCTCCTTTCCATGGGCCTTGGTCAATTCAGTAGTTTACAGAAGAAAGATAACATTGCTTTACATTCAAGGTTTCATGCCTTTATCTCACAGGAAGTGACAAGGACTCTTCATTTCTGGCAACATCAACAGTATTTTCTGTACTTGCTAAAAATGTTTGTAGCTTGAATAAAGAAAACCAATCCAGCCTCCTTATCTATGAACTGGTAAGCTGCAATATATTATATGTTTTTTTTGGATGTAGATATACTTTAAGTGCTTTTTTCCTTTCAAGTTCAATGTATCTACATGAAGATATGCACAGCCAACTATGTACACCCAATGAATATTGTTAACTTTAACTTTGTTCATTTAAAAATTATTAAAAGGAGAACTATGAGGTGAGTGATTTTCACTCAACCTCATTAGTTTGAGCCGACCTGTAACAATGAAACTGTCACAGGTCGGCTCTATAGATCTGGAAGTGAGCAAATGCATACCGTTCACTTTCCGATCATCTCCCTGCAGAGAGCGGTGATGGTCAGTCATTGCTCCCCGCTCTGATCCTCCAGTGCACAGTGGAGGAATGGACAGGGAGGGTTCGGGCACAGATGGCTCTGCCGCTAGATAGGCAGAGCCAGCTGTCACTCACGCAGCTGGGTGGATAACGACAGTATTGTTGGGATCCGTCCCGGCTGTGGCGCTCTGGGTATATAGTGAGCAATAGCTCACTATATACTGAGCTTTGGGTCACAGGAGGACGCTAGTATATGTCCTCCCGTGACCCTTAAGAGAACTATGGGATAAAAAGGTTACCCCATAGTTCTCATTTAATTGTTCATTTTAACTTAAAAACGTCAACATTTTTATTTTTGTATTTAGATACACTTTATTGTCACCCGGTCAGGAGGGGAAAATTCCCGCCCAGGCACACAACAGTATTCAAATTTGGTCACATAGTATTTAATTTTTTTTTTTTTTAGTTATCTCCAATGATGAAAAAACATTTTGTCTGAGTTCTACTTTAGAAAAGATGAATATGTTGTTTCAGGCGAGTGAAGTGGATGGTCAGGCCTCATAATCACTAAACAGATCGTTGTGCGGTCAGATACTGCCGTCTGCGATCTGAGTCTTGTTGTCGTGCTGACAAGCAAATTTACATAAATGCAAAATCATGGAATCTTATTTTCTTTTTTTTTCCACCTCAATGCTCTTCACCTCTGCAATTCAATGCATTTTAATGGTTTATCTTCCCCCCTCCTCCTCCGGTGTAATTATCTAAAGGTACCTCTTTCCCCTTTGCCGAGTTAATGTTTTTATTGGTAATAAAGAAGGAAAAAATAAATACAAATGCCACGGGCTAATTTTGTGCAAGGGTTCTAATAACCTTCTACAACATATTAGCAATGATTAAAGATTTCACGGTGTGTGATTTTTCAGCTTAAAAATCAAAGGCCTAATTAAAAATCTAAATGAGACGGCAATATTACATTTTCCGAGGAGGTTAATTTACAATAATTTCTTGAGTGGGACACTCTAATTGAAAACAAAATGCTGTTATCTTTATTTAATTAGAAGCTGACATCACGGGCTTATTGGAAATGTCACCATGGGCAGTACAAATCAGCATAAGACAACAGAGCTTATGGGAAGGGGACCTCTTTCCTGACCCAATTTACATAATGGCAATTGTGAACGGAATCTACTCCGGTGAGCCCGTTCTGTATCTGTAACGGCCAGGTGACATACCGGTATAAAAAGTGGCTATAGGTACACCAAGGTGATCAGCTGTTTAGTAATAAACCGAGAGCTTGGAGGCATGTTTATTGGTCAGATATTCCAAAAAATATGTGCGCTTGGCTGGATCGAGTACACATTTTTGAAATAAACCTGTTACGGGGATAACAATAGGGGCTGCCATTGTTGATCTCTTTCTAGAAATGCTTTTGTAAGGGCTGCTGTGCTGATCCAATGCCTTTATTGTATTGAGTAATACATTCTGACCTAAAAGTAAAGTGCACATATGCTTTTTACCCTCCACCCCTGACCTAAAAAGTCCCACCCTCCCCCTCTGCAGATCTGTACTTACGGAGATCTGATGGGCAAGGTTCCTTTATTGTTTACATCCAATGCTCCCTATTAGGGATGCACAGATACTAGTATCGGTGCCAAATATTTGGGCGAGTACCTGTACTCGCCCAAATGCTCCGATGCCTGGCCCGATACTTAAGCTTTCGGTATCAGGAAGCTGGGCAGCGAGTCATTACATGCTGCCCGGCTTCCTGATTGCCCAGAAAGCCGGCTCCATGCTCCCTTGTCACCTGGTGATGAGGGAGCATGGAGCCGGCTTCCCAGCAAATCAGGAAGCCGGGTGCCATGTAATGATGCATTACCCAGCTTCCTGATTAGTCCAGCTTCTCGACCAGTCAGGAAGCCGGCAACGCGTTATTACATGGCGCCCGGCTTCCTGATTGGCCAGAAAGCTGTCTCCATACCTCCTTACCACCTGGTGACGAGGAAGCATGGAGACAGCTTCCCTGCTAATCAAGAAGTCTTTGCACGCCGCCTGGCTTCCTTAATGGGACTTCCTGTATTGGTATTCGGTATCGGCGAGTACCAAAAAAAAAAATATTGGTATGCGTACCTAATACTGAAAAACCGGTATCGGTGCATCCATACTCCCTATGCTGGCCACAGCTGCACATTACAGCCTTATAGCCTTTTATGGATCTGTCCCAGGCAGGCGATGGATGTGGCCAGGAGGGGAGACTTGCAGTGGTGAATGTTAACAAACAACTGAGCAGCCCTTGGATCTTGGTAAGTATAGATCTGCAGAGAGGGAGAGGAGTGTAGGATCATTTAGGTCAGGGGAGGGGGCAAGTGAGCTTTATCTAAAAGTGCACTCATTCTTTAATTTGATCCATTCTTATTCCAGGCCAAATATGCAGAAGGCTGCATGTCCTACTTTTTTTAAGAGCACGCCACTGCAGATAGATGGTATGAATTTACATTGCGGGATACAAGGCAAATTGCCTTATCTGTGCGCTGGGACTGGAATGTGTCTGGTATGCATGGGCCCTTTAAGTCAGGTTAATATGAAATACTGCATAGCGACATTATGCAATGTCATTTTAAGCAAGCAGGTAGAGCTTTTGGTGCTAGTTTTTCCTTACCTCCTGCTGGGAAACAACTATACTGCTCATGGTTTACTGAGCTTAAGCTGAAATGTACAAAGAAAAGTGAAGAATTCAGTTGCTCCTCCTCCCTCTCCTTCCCCCACCACCCTAATTGCTTATTTCTGCTTACATCCAATGGGAGAAAGCTGCTGTACTGCAGTGACTCTTGCTTCTCTCTCTTTAAAATGAGAGCCTGTCCGAGAGGAGGCAAATACTGCTGTGCTCTCTTTAGCTAACCCACAGTGCTCTGGGAATCATGTGTCATGCAATAACGCTATGTAGCATTCAAAATCTGCCTCCTTCCCTGAACTTAAAGTAGGTCCCCCCTCGACCCAAGTGTGTTCTGGATGGTCTGATAACATCATGCATCGTTCCTCTCCTTCTCTGGCAGCGGTCCTTACTTCTGCATGCACAACAGTAATCCTCTCAGCTCAGGCCTTACGTGATGACTCTTCCCCAGGTGGAGGGCCCATGAACTTTACAGCATTCATTATAGTTTTCATAATGAAAATTCGTCTAATTCAGAAATCTGACTTGCCTATGCAGGATCTTAGTTTTCTTCTTTATTTAGAGTTCCTTAGTTTGTATTACTTTTTATATTGGCGCATAGGTACACTTTAAATTGAATCTCAGTACACTTTATATTTTACAATTACAAGTCCAGTCTAAAAAAAGCATCCCCACCTTCCGCTACTATATGTGATACACAGCTTGGTTAATAGAGCGCTTGCTACAAACTGTGGCGCTCGGCTTTTTTGGCACCAACACTTGTTCTCCTGCTTCAACAACAAGCGGAACCCCTGGGCTATATGGAAACAAACACTCTTCCCAGTCATGTGTGGTGATGAAGGGGGTTTTTAATTCCTCGGAGAGTCGAAAAACCTCGGCCAGCTGGGACTAGATGCCAGCGCGGTGCTTGATGTACTTAAAGAACAATGAATTATCATGCCCGCTTAGATCAAGGGTCTTTAGCTGTGGTGATTGAAAGCGAAAGGAAAGCCCGCAATTCACAGAGATATGACTCCATACCGACTCAGTTCACAGCCTGGGCTAATTGTCTGCCGAAAACACAGCCTGTGTCTACAAACAGATGGCATGGCGCCTTTAGAAAACCCCTATGCTGCTGTCTATGTCAACAGTAAACATACACCAGCCAAGTAAGCAAGGTCCGATGATAAAAAATGATATTACATACAGATATGAATCTTGAATTCTGTGGAATCGATAAGCAGGCACCAGATATCTCCCCGAGAGGCAGGGGTAGGGAGATATCCGACTGTCCACACAAAAGCCTACTGAGCCCCAGGACCCTCTGCGATCCATGCGAGACAAACAGTGGGGTATTCATTGTATTTTCTATCCTTCTCTATAGCAGATGTAGCATTGGCCTCACATACTCCAAAGGAGACAAGTGACATCCCAAGAACCTCTGATTAGCAGAGACACTCAACATCGCCATTTAGTACCCCAGAAAAAAACAGAAAATCACCAAGATTGCTCATAATTAGGAGCATTGCTTGTCTTCATCAAGCCCGTTATGAGTAGCCATAGGAAGGCAGCATGGTGGCCTAGTGCATACTACTGCGGCATTACAATGTAGGGCTTTTGATTTCAGTTCCCTCTAGGGACACTATCTGCACGGAGTTTGCTCCAATTGAGTACAAGTCCCAGAACCCACCTCACTGGCTGCATACTTATTGCAATCTGTCACTCATAAATCAGTAAAGCAAGGATGAAAATGACAGCCTTAGAAATTGCACCTGTAAACAAAAATCAGCAATGGCAACCCCCATTCTATCTCACCAGGCTCCTTAATTAAAGTAAAGTAATTTGGTGCTTGAGGCTTAACGGTGTCATCAGGGCCGAATTTACTCTCCCTGCCGCCCCAAGGCCAGGTTCTGCGATGCGCCCCCCTTCCCATCAATGGAGAATGGCAACCAGAGGGCAGGGCGGCAGGGTTAGTGTCAATTTTTTTTACTGTTTCATCATTTTTTAAACTTTTTTTAACACTTTTTATTTTAGTATTTCTTATTATTTTTTTAAATTCTTATTTATTTAATTATTTTTTTTTATTTAATTTCTTTTTAATCAATTTAATTTTTTTTCCACCTAACTTTATTGCTATCACACAGGAGAAAACAATCCCCTGTGTGATAGCAACTGGAGGTGACAGGTTCTCTTTATTGACCTGTCACCTCCAATACAGGAGTTCTAGCACAGCACAGCTCTCCCCCCTCGGTGGCCTTGTGGGGAATCCGGGCCTGGGTGTCTAGGTGAGGTAATAGCAGCCTTGCAGTAAACGTTTAAAATTCATATATGTTCAGTGATGTGCTAACTCCGTATATGCGTTATTATTCATCATCAGTTCCATAACCTTGGTACACTCACCTTCTTTGTTAGTGGACGTCTGCAGACATAATGTCACAGCTTCTACTGCCCGGGGGCTTGTGAATAGGAGACCCTCATAACTTTCTGGGTGGGAAATCTTGAAAACAGAGAAGGTATACATTTACAGAACACTGTATACGTGAAATGTAATTAGGAAGAGTACACATGGTGAAATATTTATAAAGCAGTGGATTTGAGTTTCACCAAACATTCACTGCAAATGACTAGAGTCTCTCCCATCCTCTGGAACTCTTTACCCCAACCTGTCAGTCTATCTCCCACCCTGACTGCCTTTAGGCGATTCCTAAAACTCATCTCTTCAGGGAAGTCTATCCCACCTCAACCTAACCACTGAACCACCACGTTCTCAAACAATTCATCCCCGCACAGCTACACCCTCATGTATCACTGGTCCCTCCCTTTTATATTTTAAGCCCCCACGGGCAGGACCCACTTAGCCATCTCATGCACCATGAAGATTTACCTGCAGTGAGTGTTGGGTGAATGTCACATTCACTGCTTTATGCTCCTTTAAGATTTGTGTATGTTGTGTAACAGGGAAATCAAACTTTTTATGTTTTAACTTTCCAAGCTTATAAACGGTTTACCTTTCTTATTTTCATTTGTAAATATCTGTATGAATTTTATAACATCTCACTAGGAGACCGAGGTGCGTCCCTGTTCAGTGAGTCATTCAGTTGTCCAATGTTAGCACAACAGCTCTATTACCACTGGGTGTCATTCAACCCGGAAGACAGAGGACATATTGTGAGTGCAGGGTGTCATAGGTCTGCCCGTAGGGCGGGTGTCATCACTGTGCCCTGCACTCACAGTGTAAAGATGCAGAAAGCGGCACTGATGTCATCATATCAGCATCCCTCTCTTTATCATTGAGGACTACCGAGAGATGGAGAAAAAGCAAAGAGGAAGAAGACCCTGTATGTCGTGGCTGGCCTAAAGAGAGATGAAAAAGGGAAGTATACCGCTCAGTGTCTGCAACCCCCCTCTGCTAATCCCTCCACTGGCTTCCACTCGCCCAAAGGATAAAATTCTGTCCAGATGGAGGCCTTGGCTACTGTTCATGGAATCCTCTCCTCTAACTTCCTTTTTGTCGTCTAATTGTCTTGTTGTGTGTCGGTTTTGTGTTGTCTATGTCTGGTAGTTTAAGGAATTGCATCTACTTTGACCTTTCACTAGGCTCATACAATCCCATATGGTCCCAGGTCTTCCCTTCCACATTGAGGGTCCGGGGCCTTACCCCATTCAGACATGACGGCCCCCTCCGAGGAGGACCCTTTTTTATCAGTGAATCTCCCTGCGGGGGTGAGTAGTTAGGCAGGGGTATGGCTCGACTGAGGGCCCACTACCATATGTACCGTTGGTTTAAGTAATGATGTGGGGTACCCTTACACACTGTTCACCCTTTGCTGCCTTTAGTATGTTTTTATACTATGTTGTATGTATGTTGAAAATCTTTAATAAAAACTATTTCTGCACACAAAAAAAACAGTCACTTATAAAGCCATCTACAACTCTGCCCCCGAATATATCTCAAACCTGGTGTCAAAATATCACCCTAACCATCCCCTCCACTCCTCCTAAGACCTCCTAATTTCCAGCTCCCTTGTCAACGTCTGCCATGCTCACCTCCAGGACTTCTCTAGAGTCTCTCCCATCCATAAGTAGGTTTGTTTACTTTAAAAACGTCAAAATGACAGGTCCACTTTAAACTCGACCTTGTACAAGATCGTGTTTCAAGCATCTCCCGAGCCTCCTTAGTATGAATTCAGGACAAATGTACAAATGTCTATTTTTTTTTTACAGAAACCAAGAAAATTGTATTCCAAATGAACCATGTCACAGGAGCATATGATTACATACAATTTATAAGGGTGAAAAAAAACGACACAGGTCCATCTAGGTAGGAGTAGGGTGTGTGTGGTGTCTATGAACGTCCATAAGTTCTGTACAGCAAACAAGTGCACCAGAGTGGACTATCTGCTCCTCTGATATATCATACATAGGGGCACTATGGCCTCCGTTCCCTCTACATATGCAGACCTTTGTGAATGCCTCTGCTTTTCTTTCACTTCTACGTCCCCCTCCTAGTACACCATAACAGGCTTAATCCATCAGCACGGATAGAGTGGCGCTAATAAACCAGATTAAGGTTGGTAATAGAATAAAGGAAGATTATACCTTGTCAAAGAGCTGCTCCAGTGACACAAATTTAAAGGATAACACAGGGATTAGTGTTGCTTGCAGTCCATGGGATGACAACTCCTAAGAAGGAAGATAAGTCATTGTAATGTATGCATATGAAGATTATAAGGGAAGAATCCAATTGATTTGCATAATGGCAATCTATAACCTGAGTTTATAATCTTTTAATAGGGGTGTGCCCTGTGTCCCGCTGACCCTGGTTAGAGGAACTATCAGCAGGGCTGTACTTACCATAATGGCGATTTAATAATTCACGTCCCAGCCGCTTTCGTGAAAGAGAACAGGCCCAGAGTAAGCTTCAAGTTACCCTGGTCAGACCCTGTGTAGCCCCCACGTTGCAGTGCTGGTGCCTGGTAAGTGAGTGATCTGGAACCTAGTTCTAAATCATGAAAAAAGGGCAGGAAGTCACATGCCATCCAATCCCTTTGCTCCAAGCAGCCGAACAGAGTGGCACATGGGGAATGTAAGTGGCACTCAATGCCCAAATTTAAGTGAATCTTATTCTATATTCCAGTATCAGGAAGCCGGGCAGCGACTCATTACCTCCCCCCCTGATTGGCTGGAAAACCGGCTCCATGCTTCTTCTTCACCTGGTGACGAGGGAGCATGGAGACTGCTTTCCGGCTAAAAAAGTCCTCAGAGCAGGCAATCAGGCAGAGCACCACTGCCGCCCTCTGCGCCCTGCCACTCCGAGGCCGGGCCTCGATGGTCTTGTGGGAAATCCGGGCCTGGGCGGAGGTAACATTCCCTAATATCCTAAGAATATTCAACCAGATGAGAAAATAGCCTAAAGCAATAAAATCACATTTTTTTACCCCCCCCCCCCCCC